TAAAGGAAATCAGTCCTGAATATTCATTGGAAGGATTCATGCTGAAACTGAAGCTCCAATACTCTGGCTATCTGATACAAAGAGCCGACTCATTAGAAAAGACCCTGATGCTGGGAAAGACTGAAGGCAGGAGGAGAGGATGAGAAGGTTGGATGGCATCACTGACTCAATGGACATTAGTTTGAGCAAGCTCCCAGAGATGGTGAAGGACAGAGAAGCCTCGTGTGCTTCAGTCCATGGGGTCACAAACAGTTGGACATGACTCAGGAACTGAACAACAACATTCCAACCATTTGGTTGATACTAGCAAACTCACTTCAACAACTTAAATGTACAGAAGTGCATTGCACAAAACACCTCAAACATTACCCAGAGGTTGAGAGACTAACTTCAAAGCAGCTCATCTTTAGAAAGGTGTTCCATTTCTCTCTTTTGGTTGAAAACCAGCCTCTCTGCCTCTCTGTAATAGGACACCATTGGACCCAGCTTCACATCTTGGGCTCACTAACAATAGTTTCTCTTCCTCATAATTATCTGTGAGATTTACAAAGACATCAGTCCTGTTTCTCTTATGCCATGACATTGAGTCCTCTCATTTTGTCTAAAGCACAAGAGTGGATACAGAGCAGTTTCTTTATACATAAAGTGAGCATAGAATTATAAAGAAGCAAAGCTCCTCTATCTAAGGAGCTTGGACTTGTAGAAGAATAGTTTATAAACAAAACTTTAAAAGGCAAGGAAAACTAGACAAGAGTCAACAAAAACAGCTCATTCACTCTGGATTGAACACAGGAAAAGTTTCTGAGAAGAAAAATAAACCAAAGATTCAGATCCTAAGTAGAATCAAGAATAACATATAGGACTTACCAGATGGTCCAGTGCTTAAGAAATCTGCCTGCCAAACCTGGGGACACTGTTCAATCTCTGGTCTGAGAAGATTCCACATGCCACGGGGCAACGAAGCCCATGTACCACAATGACTGAAGCCTTCATACCCTAGAGCCCATCTCTGCAACAAGAGAAGCCATGGCAATGAGAAGCCTGTACAACCTAACTAAAGAGTAGCCTCCGCTAGCCACACTAGAGAAAGCCCATGTGCACCAATGAAGACCCAGAGCAGCCAGAAATAAATAAGTTTTTTAAAAATTTTATAAAAATAAAAAGGAATAACATGAACCACAAAATATAATTAAAATAAGCTGAAAAAATATAGGCAAAGAAGGAAAACCAAAAGAAACAGAAGACAACTCCCATTAAGTAAACAGCATCTGAGTTATAAAGCAACACATACCAGTTTAATAGCCTAGGAAATTATACAGGAGGCCCTTCCCCTGAATTTTTCTTTTTTTTTCTACTTTTAAATTTAATTTTAAAAAGTTTTTTACAGTTGTTGTGTTAGCTTCTGCCATACAGCAATGCAAATCAGCTGCAATTATAGATACAGCCCTTCCCTCCCCAGCCTTCCTCCCCTTCCCCCATCCTATTCCTCCAGGTCATCACAGAGCACCAGACTCCCCTAAATTTTTATACATGGGAAAGCATATTAAAACGAACTACAGGCAACTGTTTTTCATCCCCCTCCTCCTTTGTCTCCTCCTCCAATTCTGCAGTTAGGGATAAGGAGGGCCTGGTAGAGTCTGGGCTCTCCATAAAAAGCCAAACATGTGTAAAATATACAGGAAGGGCAAACAGCTAGGGGACAGTTCTATACATTTATCAATACTTTAACTCTTGGAAGGTTTTAAACACACTATTATAATGAAAGAAAATAGCACCAACTAGAAGTTTTCCTGCCTTTCCTCCAGAACGAGTCACTTGCTGCTCAGTCACCAATAGCCCAGCTACAAGAGCAGTCTCCTAGATTCCCTGTGCCCTGGACATGGACCTCTGATCACTACAGTGCTCAGATCCTGTCATCCTTATAGGAAACACTGCTTAACAGTGACACCCACTGCCACTGTCCTGCTCAATCCAGCAATTAAATATCGAACTTGAAGCAGCACTGGCTGGACAAGCCAAGAAGGAACGGTGTGTACACAGAGCAATGGGCCTGGACAGTAAAACAAAATCCTGATGGGGTAATCATCCCTTCTCACTAAGATAAAGGATATCTCAGCCCTGACGGTGAGTAGAGAGAGGCTGCAGGGCATTCACTGGTCCAAGCAAGCGAGGTCAGCTCCGATTACTCCTGGGTAGTTGAGTTTACTGATTTTCTGGCTTGAGTCCAGGATTGCATAACACATGGAGGCCCAAGGGCTGGGAATGACCCAGAAGGGCCCTGTGCCTCCAGCCTACTCGCTATGCGCTTGGCGTGCGTCATGGCCCAGGTGGACTCATAGCAGGGGAGGGATTTGGCACATACCCCACAGTGAGCAGAGACTCCTCCAACTAAGCCACAAGCCACTGACATACGCCATTACCTGGAGGGAAGGTCCTTTGTGAGACCTCAACCCCGGGCAGCAAAGAGGCCACAAGATGGCAGCAAAGGACACAGCCCAAGACACAAAACCTGAGCCATCTGCAAAAGCTGATACCTCATTTGGGAAATGTCTGTTGTCTGCAATCATGTATTTGAGGTCAGAATAAATGACTGAACTTCAAAAAAAATCAGGGTAAAATTCATCAACACGGAGAATTTCCCAACCACCTCAGAATTCAGCCGCATACGAAGCCACATATTTCTTAAATGCTTAAAGTAGGGGATGGGGTCAAGGCCTTTAAAACTGACGTCAGCAGGAACCTTGTCATAGTCACTTCTTTCTGTGAAGTTCCAATGGGCAGCAATTCAAGTAAAACATGAGTGACTTCTATAGCAGCTGCCAAACTGATGAAGGGACAGATACAATGGTTGCTGGGAAGCACTGCAGCAAAGCAGAATTCTTTCATGGAGCAGCTAGGAACTCTGTCAGTAGGCAGTAGGCCGAGAAGGGGTCGGGGGATAATGAGGACCACAGGACAAGTCTCACAGTCTTCACTTGCAGCTGACAGAGGACAATGCATGGGAAAGGGGCAACAGGAGCACTGGGACTAAATCTCTCATCTTCCAATTTATCCTCTTAATTCTCTTTTGGTTACATACTCTTCGCCACCCCTGAAGCTGTCACTCCCAAAAATTGCCAAATAATCCCTGTGAGGCAAAATACCCCTCCCAGAAAACCAATATGAGAGGGATATGATTCTTAAAAAATGGCTTTGAGAACCTAATGTTAAATCTCTACAGGACTCTTGAATTTTATAAAAGGCTTTGATGGCCTACAAGAACCATATTGCACATCTAAACTCTAAATTTCTACCATATGTGTATATAAAGGAGACGTAATAATTGAAGGACTATGGGCCAAATCTGGTACTCAGTTTTAAGAAAATCAGTTGTTAACATTTTAAAATCAGAAGATTTTACATTTAAAAAGTCAGAATTTCTGACTATTACAGAAAAATTGGAACAATGGCAATACTAAGCCCACAGTCCCACACGGCAATAATTGGGTAGAGTTGAGTAGCGTTAGTCTTTAAACAGAATGTGGGCTCTCTAGTTTGCCATAGTTCCCATCTCTCCCTATTAACTCATGCCTAATCTGCTTCACTCATTTACACTATTTCTCATCTCTATAGGCAATTTATTTTCACCCTCTGAAGTGCTTTATAGTTTTAAAGTTTTTTTTTCTCTCATGTGTGATTTATTTGAGCCTTAGTACTCCAGTAAGGTAGAGAGGGTAAATATTATAATCTCCATTTAAGCAAAATGCATTTCAGAGAGGTCTGCTTTGCCCAAACTTACACATCAAAACCAGAGTCTAGATTTTCTGACTCTCAATCTTATTATTCTTGGCAGCGGGAACTATTAAGTTTCTATTAAGAACTTCATTTTATGGACTTCCCTGGCAGTCTAGTGGTTGGGACTTCATGTCTCCAACTGTAGGGGGCATGGGTTCCATCCCTGGTCAGGGAACTAAAATCCTGTGAGGCATGTGACATGGACCAAAAAAAACTTCATTTTAGTGGTTCATGTATCAAAACCAGAGAAGTAGATACAGGCATAACTGCTGGAATGGATGAATTCCCACTGTTTAGTTGTTCAAGAATCCTTGCAAATGATTACCTCCTCTTCTTTCATTGAACTATGTCTACTCCTCTTTCAGGCATATGAAGATTGCCCTTCTAACCATCCTGAAGTTGGGTGTGGCTGTATGACTTGTTTTTGTCAATGAAGTGTGTGTGAAAGCGATATGTATCCCTTTGACGCAAAGCATTTAAGAACCTGAACAATTCTTCATGTTTACTTCCCAGCTTGGGAAGGGGCTGGAGACGGGGGGACCGGGGATTAGTCTCATGGTGACATGGTAGGATCTCAAAATGGTGGTGCTCCATTGACTTGGGTACCTGAATAATTTACAAGGAGCAGAGTACACTGCCAGAGAGTAAACCTTCATGGTTTTAGGCCATTGAGATTTTGGCATTGTTACCACAGCATAACCTAGCCTAACCTGACACAAGATTCATCTGCATGGTAACTGAACTTTTCCAAGAACTAAAATGCAATTCCTAGATATCTGATCATATCACTAAAACTTGTTGCTCCTACGTGGAAGACAGTTAAGAATGAATTGCTGACTTTTATTCCTAGCTCCTTCAGCTACCACCACCTTCTGATTTTGAGGAAAATTATTGTGAGTGCTTCACAGATGAGCTCTCCATTATTCCAGCATTTAGACTGCGCGTGGGGGTGGGGGAGATTTTGTTTTCTCATTCCAGAGCCTAATCCCAGAACTGTCCCCACCCACTAATACTCACACAATCTTGTCATAGGGCAACTATTACCACTCCCAAGGTGTCACAAACAGCTGGCGCCACGGCAATGTCAGGGCAATGCAGCCAGGCTGCGCTCTTTCCTCACTGGTGCCTGGGCTTGGTTAAGCCTGGAGAAGCAGCCTTCTCAAGTGGGAACAAAAATGAGTGTGAAGCGCACACCCATCCCGGCACTATGTGAATTTGGGGTGAGTTTTCTTAGTATTGCAGCTCTGGTCAATTTCTAGTTTCTCTAGCGGCTAGCAAGCTGTCGGGTTGGTGCTACTGGGTGCCCTCGTTTTCCTGGGCTTTTCTCAAGCCCACCTGAACTTGCCATCTTTGCACACTTGCAAAGGTCATAAACGGTGGGGGCTGAGCACAACCAGAGCTTCAGCAAGCGCGGCGCAGCTGGGATCAAAGGTCGGCAGGGCTGCCGAGAGGCTGAGCCTGCGCAGTCCCGCTCCCGCCTTGGAGAGAAAGGGTGGCGGCAACGCGGGATCGTTACACCGGCTAGCTCACAAGAGGCGGGAAAATTTAGGTTGGGTCGCCGTGTCCCTCCCTCTTCCTGCCCTGTCCACCCCGTCTGCCCAGCCAGTCCGATCTCCTCAGGCGCCTAGGCCCCGGGGGAGGGGGATGAGAAGGGCCCTGGGCTTCTGACTCATCATCTCTAACCCCTTTCTCGCGCGCGCTCCAAGTCTCAGGACTTTGGACCTGGGCACTGTGGGAGGGGGCACGGCCACAGCATCTGGGAAACCCCAGCTCTGCCGAGGGGCAGCCCTCAACCCCAGCCGGTCTCCAAAGCTACCAGATGGAGGAATGTAGAACCCCAGTCAGTTCTCAGTTACCGAGGTTGGGGTGGTGGCGCCCCCGCGTAGAACTGCCCGCCCAGCTCCTCCCTGCACGCGGGGCCAGTGGTCGCGTCCGAGGAAACGCTCGTCTAGGCCCAGATTTCCAGCGCCTCGCGTCATTCAGCAGATGCACAGCGCCCCCACCACAGAAGGGAAGGCTCTTTATTTCCCAGCAGGCCACGGGGCGGCGAGGCATCCTGGGATTTGTAGTTTCCGCTAGAGTAGAAAGGCACCAGATCGAAGCGAGAGACCAAAAGCACCAGTAGTGAATTGATCTCAGAGTGGGCGTGTACGGGAACCCGGGTTTGGAGTGAATGGGATTGTGAAAGGTGGAAATCTTGGAAACAGTGAGATGAGGCAGATGTGAAGCTGGGGAGGCAGTGGGTAAGAATGGAAGGGAGGAAATGGATCTAGCTGAAAGTTAAAGATCTTATCTTGCAGGCAGTCAGATTCTCAGGGCTGTGAGGTGATGAAAGACTCAGTATAGGTATTGCTTTCCCCAGCAGGGAAGGGTAAAGCAAGGGGCCTAGTCACAGTGAAAATTGAAGGCGCTCCACTGGGCTTCATGTATGTCTCAGGGGACTCCATCTAATTTGAGTTCAGGGGGATGCAGTGCAGGAAAGTCTGGAGAATTCCCGTCGGGTAGAAGAGCAGCACATGTCTGCTTCCACTTGCCAGCTCACTCATTTGTTCTCTTTGCTGTGCTAGCCACTGTGGGACCAGTCTCCAACTCAGGAACTTCCTCCAACTCTGAGAGGCCCTGAAAACCAGACAGTTGTGAGGTGAGCGAACTTAAAGTGTGAGAAAGGAGGAATCCCAGAGACATGCAGCTTCCTCATCTCCCATTTTTTTCCCTCATGTTCCCATAGTCCTTCCAATATTTAGTCACATTCCTAAAGCTCTCCCACATTTCTAGCCCCAACCATTTAGTTACTCAGTTTCCTCTTACCCATCACTAGGAGAAAGTGAAAGTGAAGTCGCTCAGTCGTGTCTGACTCTTTGCGACCCCATGGACTGTAGCCTACCAGGCTCCTCAGTCCATGGAATTTTGCAGGCAAGAGTACTGGAATGGGTTGCCATTTCCTTCTCCAGGGGATCTTCCCAACCCAGGGATCGAACCCGGGTCTCCCGCACTGCAGGCAGACGCTTTACCGTCTAAGTCTCCTAGCCATCACTAGGAGAGACATGTCCAAAGCCAGAAAACTAATAAGTTTCAGTTTAACAACCCCTCCTGCCCCGCCCCATTTTCTCTTTACCATTGACCAGGATAGCCAGTGAAAAAAATGAGCTTCTAGCTCTCTGCTTCCTCCCTGCCCTCAATACCTCCTGTAGCTCCTGGTAGCGCAGACTCTGGCTTCTGCAGCATCTTGGCTTCCTCTGGCTCAGCAGGAACAGGGAGTATGCTGAGACCAGCACTCCCCCTAGGGTGAAGGCCTCAGCGCTGAGCTCCAGCACCAGCAAGCCGGCTAGCTGTAGGTAGATGGGGCTGAGGGTGTGCTGCAGGGGACCCTGCACCTATCTGCCCTTGTCCTTTCCCCTCCTCTTGCCTCCGCATCCTCCCACATTCTCCTTTATTCACTTGTACCTGGGAGGGGACAGTTGGGGCAGACATCAAGGCTGTCTTCATCACCTCGACCACCAATGCGATGAAGCCCGAGATCAGATTAAAGGTGTTGAATATCATCATGGCACACACCTGCCAGTGAGCCAGTTGAGTCCTACCAGCCTAGGGGACCCACTGGAACCTCAAGCCCCACCTGTAGCCTAGCTGAAAACAAAACTCAGCTCCTATTCCTCCACCTCCAAACAAGACCATCAGCCCTTTAACTTCCTTATTTTCCCCTCTCAGGGTTTTAGGCCAGTCACAGGCAGAGAGCCTACACAATTAGTCAACAGAAATTCACTTCCTAGACTGATTGTGTGTGTGTGTGTGTGTGTGTGTGTGTGTGTGTGTGTGTGTGTGTTTTAGGGGGTGGGAGAATAGTACTACATTCTTTTCCCTTCTCACCTTCCAGAGACGGGGTGCTCTGCGCAGCTCAAGGGTAACAATCCCAGTGAGGAGACCCTGAATGACGAGAAAGGCAAGTGGTGAGGTCTGGCTTGTTGGGGGGGGGCCTTCCTCTGCCCTCCCACGGGGTAGTTCTTACCAGTATGCCAGGCCCAAGTGGCAGTGCTGTGGTCACGTGACAAGCAGAGTTCAGGCAGGCTACCGAGACAGCAAAGGGCAGCACAGCCACTGCCAGCCACAGCTGGCTCACCTGGAGGCCAGATGCAGTGGAGTTGAAGGGAAACTCAGGAACTCCCTTCCTCCCAATCCTTGGCTCTTCCAGAGATCAGCAATTGGGAGGAATGCATAGTGCCAGAGAGTAGTCAACCAAGGGCCAAACGGAGAAGGAGATATCTTTTAATTTTTTCTGCCTTATGCTGTAGTTCAGTTACTTGCCTATGTGTTTTCCCCATATGGGGAATCTACTTGGAGATTAAGGGTCTTGCCTTGTTTGTTTTATATTTCCTCCACCCTCCTCCCACTCAGAGCCTAGCACAGTTTCAGGCACGTGATAGGTGCTTACAAAACATGGGTAGGACTGAACTGGGGGGACAAGTGAACATGCTGAGGGGCGGGGTGGGGCAGCTTGGTCTTACCGCCAGCACCAGGAGGCGCCCACTCTGCCTGTGCCTGGCCCAGTGCTGTAGCTTTTCCAGACGAAGGCTAGGTCTCTCTTGCTGACCAGGTCCGTCCTCCATGGTTCCCTTGATCACTAGAGCTCTGTGATTTCTAGCCTGGGGAAAATGCATCATGATACTCATCAGAAGACAGGACATACAGCAACATCTCTTTCAACTGCCCCTCTGCCCGCTTTCAATATCCAGGAAGTTGAGGTTTAAGAGTCCTTATACCTACCTAGTCTGAAGCAGCTGCTCCAAAGGGATGGGTCCCAATCGGGCCTGGAACTCCTGGTGAGGCCCCTGGTAGCTCAGAGCAGACGACAAACTTGTCCTGGAAGAGACAGGCTCTCAGGGCTGAGGTGTGGTGGGGCAAAGGTCCCTATGAGGGCCTATGGATCCAGGGAGTGGCGGTGGGTAGACACCAGCCTCAGTTCACTCTACATGACACCTTGCCCTATCTCATTCTGTTCCCATTTCCTGTTGACCCCGTCTCTGCCCATCCTTGGTGCCTCTTCTGATCACTCACCTTATCCACATGGATACTATCACCGTGGGCTCCAATGTCCCATTTCCATCTAATGTTTTTCCTTTTTTAGGGGGCTTCCTCCTTAAATTACTTGCCATTCTGTAGGGAAATCCCACCTCACTCTCTGGATTAATCCCATCATTACCACTTGAAGGTTTGTCCCAACACCAGCCAAGACCTGGCTTCTTATCTCTCACTTTCTGGACAATTTCTCCTCTCCCATTCCTTTCTTGAAGGATTTACTCTGGATTGGGCACTGACTAAGTGGATGGAGAGCTCTATTTATAGTAGGGATTGTTTTTGACTCAGTGATAACCTGTAGTTAGACATGTTAGAAGATGGTCCTTAAATGGTCAGTCTTGGAAAGGACACTATTGCAACAATTAATATTTTTGAGGGACAGACGTTGCCTTGCAGCCAGGCAAGCTCTGACACTTTCCCAGCTGTGTGGCCTTGGATACATTATTCTACCAACTTGAACCTCAGTTTGTTGAAACAGTGATTAAAAGGCGGAGAGTAATATGACTGGGAAGGGTTGTTGACTCAGAGTGGGTACATAATAACTATTAATGATGCGGATTAGTTTATACTGATGTAGCTGATGCCCATATATTACAGCACTTATTCAGAAGCTAAACTGGGGTCATTTATTTCTACATGCCAGGGAGGCCTGGTGTGCTGCAGTTCCTGGGGTCGCAAAGAGTGGGACACAACTTAGCTACTGAACAGCAATAAACAAGCAGAATCACCTGGGCCCAAATATATATTCTGTAGATCAAAAGTAGGAAAAGCCCACCTTGGTGCAAGCCTGACTTCTTGAGGCAACCGGATCTATGTTGAAATCCCAGAGCAACCCAGGTGACCTTGGGCAAGTTACTTAATCTCTGTTTTCTTATCATTAAAGGCAAATTAATGCCAATCTCAAGGGGTTGCCTTAAGTATTAAAAGAGAAAAGAGAAAATGAACCAATTCAGTCCAGCACCTGGCACATACATGCTCAATAAATATGAGTGGCTATTATTAATGACCAAAGACTGAGCCAGAAGACCGCAGGAGTTAGAACTAGGAGGCAGGGTTCTGGGAGGCAAGTGGCTTTCTGTGTGAGCCACTTCTGCCCTGTTCAGTGCTGCGCCAACTCACTGGAACACTGTGCCCACTCTTCTTTCCTGGGCAGTGAGAATCACATTTAAAGGGATCCTGAGAACTGTTGTGTCTACTCTCTCCTCTATCCTATGTACATTAATTTTATTTTGTGGCGATGGCCTGACAGAATGTGAGATGTTGGGCTTGCACTGAGTATCCCTTAACTGGTAGGCCAGTGGAAAGAGACTAGCCTCATTTTCCTTACCTGTAAACGCAGACTAATTATAGAAGTGTTATTGGAAGGATTGTATACTATTAAATATGTGATCAGGCGTTCAGTGAAATATTGATCAAATCTAAGTATCCAATTTACAAATTTGTAGTCCCTGTGTAGATTACAGTCTCCTCGAGGGAGAGTACCACATTCCTCTGCTGTGTTCATCCCCCACAGCACTGAGCGTAGTGCTTGGTACTTAGTAAGCACTCAGTAAATATTTGTTGTATTGAAGAGCCATTAAAGTGATTTAAGGAATGGAAAAACAGAATTCGAGAGGAAGGAGCAGAAATTGTTTATCAAGAACAGAAAGGACCGAAGAGTAACTTTAATATTTCTTACACGGCCGACATTAACTATCTCTATAATCGCCCCTCCTCCTCCCCCAAAAGAGAGACAGAAATTGTAAGGGAGAGGCTTTGAGATAAAACCCCAGGAAGAACTTCCCGAGTCTGTGCATGTTGGGGCAGAAAGAGCGGCAGAGCCAGCTCCTTCCCTGGTATGTCCGGGTTTAGGGTGGGAGGGGCAGTCCTGCTTGGAGGCTGGGGGAAGGACGAGATGACCTTTCAAAATCTCTTCCAGTCTCCTGTTGGAATCATCCGTGCGCCCCACCCCCGTTCCCCCCCCTCCTCCGACAGCGCCCCCAGTCTCCAAACGGCCCGCACCCCGCCCCTGGCGGCCGCCTCTCGCGGCTCCCGGGGTCCCCTGCTCCCAGTCCCCGGAGCCACAGCCCCGCTCCCGCTCCCGCTCCCGTGCGGCTCCCAGCCCCACCGCGCCGCCCCCCGCATGCTAATGGCCGGGCCGCCTCCCGCCGCACACAATGCGGGCCGGGGCCGGGGGAGGGGGCGGTCGTCTTTGTAGGGGCCCGAAGGCAGGGCGCGAGGGGCCTGGGGGTGCCGGGCGGCCGAACTGGAAACCAGAGTGGATGAGTGCCCCCCGGCCCAGGTAGGGCTGATGGAGGAGGAGGGGGAAGGGACCCAAACTCTCCGGGAGCGGGGGATGGGGGAGGGGAGAGGATGGGGGGGTGCTTCCCTCTCTGCGTCCCAAACAAAGTGTCACAAAGAGCTCGGCCGGCGGCAGCGGCGGAGGCGGCTGCAACTCAGCTTTTGTTCTCCGGGCCCGGGTAGCTGAGCCTTGGCCTCCCAGTCTCCCAACCCTGTCCCCCATCATCCTTCTGGTTTATCTTCCCCGGGAGGGGCCCGGGGTGCTGCTGGAAGAACCTCTTGTGCAAGATCAAAGGTCTTGCCCTACTTGCCAACCTGCTTCTGGGAGGGAGATTTTCCCAGAGTCTTTCCTACCCACTCCCCACCCCCTAATCTGAGAACTGAGGTTCAGATGGGTGCTGAGACTCTGACCTTTCTAGGGTCAGCTCCAGCTAAGGGGGCTTAGGGCGGGCTGCATGCCCCTCCCCCAGATGCAGGTCCTTCGGAACTTTCAGAAGAGGGGTCAACTTGGGACATGCCTCTGGGATAAGATTCACTATGGTGGGGTGGCTGTAGGTGAGCAGGTGTACCTCCCTCTCACCTCTTGCTGTCCATTTGAAACCCACAACTGAGGTCTGTAACCCCCCACTCAGGGTAGTGAGGATGGAAGGAAGGAGGCTTTACCAAGAACTCAGTCTAAAAGGTGGGCAGGCTGTGCTATGAGGTCAGTTTTGGTCAGAGGACCATGGAAAGGAGGCCATAAAAGTGAACTAGTGGCGTGTCTGTGTGATAAAGGTGGTCTTGACTCTAGACCACCTAAGGAGTTCCCTTTCAACTCCATCTAGTACAGCATTAATCATAATTGTTAGAGGATTTGGAAGGTGTAAAAATTCTCAGAGGGAAAAACATCGAGTATTAGAGATGACCAGAGACAGAGACCTAGTCACTGCCCTTCAGGCCCTATACTTCAAGTCCTGAACCGTTGCCCCTTACACTTTGACCCTAAAAGCTTTTGAAACACAAAGTTTGAGAGAGAATCTTCATGGTCCTCCAGACAGCAGATGCATCTATGTACTTGTCCCTATTGTTTCTAAGAGTCTTCTCACCAACTCTTCCATCCTTCCTTACTCAGTAAGGTTTGATGATCCACACCCCCTTTCCCACCAGGTCTCCTAGCACATAAAAGGAGTTGGCCTATTGCTTTGGAAAGATTTTGGATCTCTATCCCTGGCCCTACATCCCTGTAGAACCCAAATAAGGGCAAAATAACCCTTGATTCCCACTGAGGGTGGGAAGTAGGTCAGTGCTACTGCCTGGGTAAGTCTCGTGGTTGGTGTTTAGGGCCTGACTATAGAAAACTGTGATTATTGCCCACGGGCAATGCATGCATGATCTGGGTTCCAGGTCACTTCATAAAATCTGGGCCTCTGGGGTTCTGTCTGAGAAAAACTTGTGGGATCAGGTTCTTGGGACCTCTTTGGTGAGGAGATGATTCTGGAGATCTTGACTGAGCCTAGGAGGGTCTCTCAGTGGGTTTTGTTGATTTGAGGCTACCCTCTGGGGAAACTTTCTGCTTGGGAATTCAGCTTCACTTTGAGCCTTCTTGTATATCACTGCATTTCCGTCCTGGAAAACTGCTATGTGCAAAGCAGTGTTTTTGTTTTGTTTTTGGTAGGAAGCTTTGCCCAATTCCTACTCTACTTGCCTTGGTATGAGATCAGCCTCCCATGAGGTATTTTGTTTACTATCCTATAGGCAGTTTTAAGGGCCCTAGAATCTTCTCAGAATCAGAGTATGTGCCCATAGGTTAGTCAGCTATGACCATGCAGTATTCCCAGCCTTCTCCCCCTCCTCCCCCACCATCTGCTTCCTCTGAATATACCAGATTGGCTGTACACCAGGATGTTCCGGGAATCCCCAGGAGAGCAACAGAATGTGATGGACCCAAATATGATGCCTCAGTAACTCATTCCAGGATGTACAAACTGTAACTGTCAGAACACTCCTTATAGCTAATTAAAATTCTTCTGGTTACATCTATTTTCTGTTACATCTGTCTATTTTCAGTGACATCCAAAAGGCCAAAATAATCCCTCTGGTACCACTGGTTCCCCCCCCCCCCCCACGGTTTCCAGATAAGAATTTTTAAAAATCCTCTGGCTTTTCTCATTGCCTTATGTGAGGTGCTAAAATGGCAAATGTGGCCCCTCTAGCACTTGATTGCTCTATGGTATGGAGGTGGCCAAAGAGGCTCCTCTGGTAGCCCACTGCACTCTCCATGGTACTGAAGGAATGACCATTTGTTTCAACATCTCTCTGGGGTCCAGAAGAGTCCTATGACTCAGAACCACAAAACTTTTGAACTGGAGGGGACCATCAGTATAAATTAGTCTAACTCCCTTATTTTACAGATGAGTAAACTGGGAAGTTAAGTGATTTACTAAAGGTTGCAGGGCTATGAATGATCTGACTGGGCCCACAACAGTCTTGTGTACCCCCTCAGTCCTACACTGATTCATCTTTCATTATATTACTTAATGAACTCAACAAGGCTCTTGGTCTCAGGAAAGGGGCTTATTTGGAGGATCCAGAAGATGAGAGTGGATGCCTTAATTTGGAGCTGCAGAAATAAAGATATTAAAAGTTGTGGTGGAGGTTGTTTAGTGACCTTGGACAAAGACATTTTGTTAATTAATCTCCTTTAATAAAATTCCCATCACCCAGATTCCACATGTAACAGGTACCTGACCCTTCATAGAGTCTTGTCCCATCTACTAAACGTCAAAAATTAAAGCATCCTTGGGTCTCCAGAGCCTTTTTTCTTTGCAGGGCTGACCCTAGCTCAGTTCTCTTCTGTTACAATTCCTTAAGCAAAATAATGCTGAATCCTTTTCTTTCTCTGTAACCAATTTCAGTTTCACAATGCCTATTGTAAGGAGGTTCTTTATACCTCAAACATTCTGTCTCAAGCCAAAAAAAAAAAAAAAAATTCAGGTAAGGTCCACATTTGTCTAGCTTTGACCACATACAGTTCTATATGTAAGCAAGACAGACAGACTAGATGACTTCTGGTCATTCTTCTAGGCCTATTTCCATGAATCTTAATTCTGGGGTTGCTTCTAAGTCCTAATGCTAACCTCCTCTGCAGCTTAGAATCAGGAGATCCTCGCCCCCCACCCCCACCCCCAAGTCCTCTTCCTCTCGCTGCTCTTCTCCTTCCTCAGAACTGGAGCTCTGCACATCCCAGGCCCAGGGAATTGTAGCCTGGAGAATTTTAACCCTTTTCAGCTCAGAGCATGTGCTGAGCCCCTATCTGTGCAGATGGCCCAGCCCCGCCCCCCGTCCCTCACTCCAGCCTCTTGAGCTCAGAGCCAGTGTAATCCTCCTCTTGTGTGAGGGAGCCTCTCCCCTGCAGAGAGGAGGAAAGCCTACCTCGGAACAGCCCTGGACAAAGGGGCTGAGGTGCCCCGTCAAACTGCAGGCTCCAAGGTTTGAAACGAGGGGATAAATTCTATCCGGTATTTGCAGTTTTTAACCCCTTCCCGAGGCCAGCAGCGCCTCTTAACTTCCACTCCTCCCCCAACTCTCTCTTCATTCCCTTTCCCTCTGGCTCTCTCCCCCTTCATGCCCCTCCCCCTCTGTCTGTCTCCAGACTCTGCTGCTGGGAGGTGTTTCTCTCCCATGCATGAATGAGTCTCTGTAATGAATGGAAATGAATGGATCAGGAATCCAGGCGGAGGGAGGAAGAATAAGGGGGAAAGACAGAAAGACAGGATAAAGGCAGAAGGAAGAACTATGGAGCCTGCAAGAATGTTTGGCTGGCTGGTCAGTTAGGGGTCTGAGAGCAACTGGTCCCACTTGGATAGCTGAGGAGCATGGCAAGCCGACCCCATTTGCTTTTCCCACTGCACAGCCCAGTCTACATGAGAGAAGAGTATACTGTGATGGTCTCTTCCACCACCAGGGTGGCGGAAACTTGGGTGGGGGACGTGGTGGTGGTGATGGTTGTTCTGGATAAGGCATTTAAAATGAATAATTTTGGGGGTAGAAATCTGGGTTATCAGGGAGACTTGTGGACAAATATAGTAGTACAAGTTTTGAAGACAGCAGCCTCCTCCTGTCTCAGGATGTAAGGGAGGAGAAGGGATAGATTCCAGCGTGCTAAGAGCTTGGGGCTCTCCGGAAGAGGCTGGGGTTAGGGGTGACTTTTTCCACTGCTGAAAATCAGGGCTCATCCTTTGCTCCAAATCTGTCTCTCTTGCTTTAGCTCTTCAGCACCTGTTGCCTTCACTAGCAGCTTTTCCCCCTCCTCTTCCGTACACTCCTCAGAACCAAAGAATGTGAAGGGGGTCCATGGAGGTGAGTGAGGCTCTGGCCTGAACCTACAAGTACCTGCAACTATACTTCCTCCCCTCCTTACCTCTCTTTCTGTCTCTCTGGCCTCCCATTATTATTTCCGTGGTCCCAAAAGCTCAGTTCCCATTCATCCCCCAACTTCCTCGAGGTGAGTGGGAGGGGCCCCCGGTGTTCTTGGTTCAGGCCCCGATCCACCCTCTCTTGGGCTCCTCTGGCTCTCCATGTCCATGTCTGCCCCCACAGCGCTCCCTTCTCCACCCTTCGCTCTGTTCACATCTTTCTCCACAGGGCTCACGTCCCCGTGCCCCGGTCGGCCACCTAGCGCCGTCGCCCCCGGCTTTCGACGGCGAACTGGATCTGCAGCGCTACTCCAACGGGCCAGGCGTGAGCGCCGGGTCTCCAGGGATGGGAGCAGTGGGCTGGTCTGAAAGTCGCGCAGGCGAACGGCGCTTCCCCTGCCCTGTATGCGGGAAGCGCTTCCGCTTCAACTCTATCCTGGCTTTGCACCTGCGGGCGCACCCAGGCGCCCAGGCCTTCCAGTGCCCGCACTGCGGCCACCGTGCGGCGCAGCGGGCGCTGCTGCGCTCACACCTGCGCACGCACCAGCCCGAGCGCCCGCGAAGCCCCGCTGCGCGCCTGTTGCTGGAGTTGGAGGAGCGCGCTCTACTGCGGGAGGCCCGGCTGGGGAGACCTCGAAGCTCAGGGGGCCTGCAGCCCACCCCAGCCACCGAGGGCCTGGCGCGGCCCCAGGCCCCTTCGTCGTCCGCCTTTCGTTGCCCCTTCTGCAAAGGCAAATTTCGCACCGCGGCGGAGCGCGAACGCCACCTGCACATTCTGCACAGGCCCTGGAAGTGTGGCCTCTGCAGTTTCGGCTCCAGCCAGGAGGAGGAGCTGCTGCACCACAGCCTGACGGCCCACGGAGCTCCCGAACGCCCCCTGGCGGCCGCCTCGGCTGCGCCCCAGCCTCAGCCTCCACCCCAGCCTGAACCTAGATCGGTCCCTGAGCCAGAGCCGGAGCCTGAAAGTGAGGCAACCCCCGCCTCCGCTCCTGCTGCTCCCGAGGAGCCCCCCGCGCCTCCGGAGTTCCGCTGTCAAGTGTGTGGCCAGAGCTTCACGCAGTCCTGGTTTCTCAAGGGTCACATGCGCAAGCACAAGGCCTCCTTCGATCATGCATGTCCTGTTTGTGGCCGCTGCTTCAAGGAGCCCTGGTTCCTGAAGAACCACATGAAAGTGCACGCCAGCAAGCTGGGCCCACTGCGTGCTCCGGGGCCTGGTTCCGGGCCTGTCCGGGCCCCCCAGCCTCCTGACCTGGGTCTACTTGCCTATGAGCCTCTGGGCCCTGCGCTCCTCTTGGCCCCGGCGCCCACCCCGGCTGAGCGCCGTGAGCCTCCGAGCCTCCTGGGCTACCTGAGCCTGCGAGCCGGCGAGGCGCGGCCCAACGGTGAGGGCGCTGAGCCCGGGGCTGGCCGCAGCTTTGGAAGCTTCCGCCCCCTGCCCTCTGCTCTCCCAGCCCGGGCTCGCCGGCACCGCGCCGAGGAGCCAGACGAGGAAGAGGAGGTGGTGGAGGCAGAAGAAGAGACCTGGGCCCGGAGCAGGGCGGTGGGCCCTCTGGCTTCCCTGCCCCCGCGCCCAGGCGAGGCCCCGGGGCACTCTGCGCCTGCCGCGGGGGCCCAGGCGAGGTCCACCGCCACGCAGGGTACGTAAGGATCTCCTCTAAGGGGTTCCACGTTGTGGCCCGCTCTGACGCCGCCACTGCCCTCCTGCCCCCTCCTTTTACAAAGGACCTGCCTCTTATTTCTCGGTTTTCCTCCCGTAGAGGCTTTACGACCCTTTGAGAGCACAGTCCAACTCAGAGCTAGTTCGAACCTCTCAGGTTCCCGCAAACATTTGATTTCCTCCTGGGCCGGGAGGGGAAGCAGTCCTGTGGGTGGGTATGGGGGCGCATGGACCTACTAGAGTTAGGGCAACGGGTCCCTCTGACTTTTTTTAATGCGTGTATTGCAGAAGAGAATGGGCTGTTAGCTGGAGGGGCCCGACCTGAAGGGGGCCGGGGGGCCACCGGCAAGGATTGCCCCTTTTGTGGAAAATCCTTCCGCTCAGCGCATCACCTCAAAGTGCACCTGCGAGTGCACACAGGTGAGGGGGCAACCTCGGGGATGGGGAGGGGGCTGAGGTCAGGAAGCGGGGTGCGGGTGGGAGCTACGAGAAACACCTCTTAATTCAAATCAGAAGGGTGCGTGAGGCAGTGTTTTTTTTGGTCTGGCCCAAAGGCCTGTAGTGGAGTGAAACGCGGGCAGGGGCGGGCAGTGATCGTGACTCGCATCATCGCACCCCTCCTCTCCAGGCGAGCGCCCCTACAAGTGTCCGCACTGCGACTACGCGGGCACCCAGTCCGGCTCCCTCAAGTATCACCTGCAGCGCCACCACCGGGAGCAGAAGAGCGGAGCCGGCCCCGGGCCACCCCCAGAGCCGCCGCCCCCTTCCCAGCGGGGTTCGGGCCAGTCGTCCGGAGCCAAGTCGGCTCCGCAGCCTGCGACCTGGGTAGAGGGCAGAGCCAGCCCCCGGCCTCCCACGAGTGGCGGCGCGCCGGGGTCCCGTCGGAAGCCCGCCAGCCCCGGGAGGACCCTGCGCAACGGGCGAGGCGGTGAGGCTGAGCCCCTGGACCTGTCCCTGCGGGCAGGGCCGGGAGGCGAGGCTGGGCCAGGGGGTGCCCTCCACCGATGCCTCTTCTGTCCCTTCGCCACTGGAGCCCCCGAGCTCATGGCCTTGCACCTACAAGTGCACCACAGCCGCAGGGCTCGGGGCCGCAGGCCGCCCCAGGCCGATGCATCCCCGCCCTATGCCCGAGCACCGTCAGGAGAGACCCCTCCCACTCCTCCGCAGGAAGGGGAGGAGGGCCCCGGGCTGTTAAGATCCGGAGAGGCTGGGCTAGGGGGCCAAGAAAGGTAGGGAGCCCTCTTAGGGGGCCGGTAGCTTAGTTTCCCCCGCCGGAGCGGGGCAGCGGTAGAGGTAGTTGGGTAGAGCAGCCAGCAGCGGGCAGCGTGGGACCCATATCCCAGCCCCGGGCGGACCAGAGGTGGAGGGCCAGAGAGCGTGAGGACGGCGGGCGGGCGACACCCACCCAGCCCAGGGGAGAGTCACAGTGCCTTAGCAGTGGCAGGGGTGAGGATCAAAGAACGGGGTCCCAGGGCTGGCAGAGAGGAGTGTTCCTGCTGAGGGGCAGCTCTGCCAGTCTTTGCTGGTCCATAGGCGTGAGAGTTTATTTTTGTACAATGGGTGGGGGTGGGGGGCACTGCACCCTTCTAGCCCCTTCAGGGGCCCTGTAGACGTCGCTATTTTTGGTACGATTCCTGTCATCCCTGTCGCAGAGTTGTGTCCCCAATAAACAGGTGTCTTGAGACACAGGGCACTGTGTCTGCCTGCCTATGTCCTGTCCTCCTTGGGCCACTGCATCCAGAAAAGAGTCGTTTCTTCAGGCACTTTTTACCACCCAAAGAGCTTGGTAAGAAGCTTGGGCTTTACCCTCAGGCTTTGGCTTCAGTAGCTCTGGGGTGGGGCCCATGAATTAGTATTTTAACAAGTAGCCTATTGTTCTCCTGTACTGTGATCCGAGAATGTATGTCATCTTGAGAAACTGCTGGATGGTGCTAGACCCCAGCTTGACTGTGACCAGCTCAGCCTCAGGAAGTGCATGCAGAATGAGAGGAGGAACTTCAAGCCTCTGGAGGCCATTCCTCTGGGAGGGTGCACGTTCACCCAGGCCCAGCTTTCTGCCAGTAAGGGGGTACAGTGTACCTTGCAGCCTTGGCTTTATTTTCTGTGTTCTAGTTAACGATCGGGTGAGCGGAAGTGCTCAAGTTAGTGGTATCACTTCAACCCTGAGGTCTGCTCTAGCTGTTCGGAGACAAAGTGTGAGTAAATATATTTAATATAACAATAGTATTATAATAACAGTAATTACATATATAAAGTTTGCAGTTCCCTGCCCCACTCTTCTGTAATGGTTTGCATAGCTCCATGTCCTATGACCCCCGCCCCCCCGCCCCCAAGAACGGAGTTGCCAGGAACTGGCAGAGATGAGTCTTCTCAGGAAGAGTCAGGGGCGGCATGAGGGGAGAACACAGGCTATGGAGGCAGGGCTGACACGGAGCGGTGTCCTGGGAGTATGCACTGGCCCCGGATGGGGAAGGACTGGACGGGGGAAAATTTCCCCACCTCCAGGGTATAAAGGCAAGCAAGTGTGGATACTCTGGTTCTTGGAGGAAGGCACCTGGCTGGGAAGAGCTAGAGACAGTGGTAGCAGGGAAACATACTAGTCCTTTGACCTCCTCTCTGTCCAGGAAGCAGAGGGAAGGACTTCAGTGCTCTTCCAGTCCTCCACTCTGTGCCCTCAGCATCCCAGCCCAAAGTGTGCCGAGAGGAGGGACGGTAGCCAAGCTCCGGATCTTCTCTGGAAGCCGGGAAAGAAGAGGGAAGATGGGTTGGGAGAGGGAAGAAGCTGACTCCCAAGCAGCTGGGGAAGGGAAGGGGGAAGGATGTAAGATGTGGTAGAAAGGGGGTACCAACTCACCCAGTCACAGAGGCGTGGTGGGGTCGCTCAGGGCCCGGGTATGGCTCTGAAGGAAGAGAAACTACAGTGAGTTTAAAGCATAAAAAATTTTCTGTTGTATAGAGAGGTTATATAACCCCCCCTTTCCCCCAAGCCTGTCAATTAGTTCACCCTTTTTTTCCTCCTCATCACTCCTGAATTTTGCTGATTGAGTCCAAGTTCAAACCAGTCTGTTAGAATTCTCCCCTTTCTCTCACTCTTGCACTACACTCCTTATTAAAGATTCTTTTTCACTTCTGACCTTCATCCCTCTCAGCCAGGCCTGGAGGAAAGGAGAAACGCAGACTGAACAATACATCCATCTAACCTATAGCCTTGTGGGAGCACAGGCTCACTGGTTCCTCTGCCCCTCATGAGTTGAACGATCAGAAGAGCCCACCCCATTCTCAGCACTACTTCAAGGACTTACCTGGCGGGATAGCCCTAAGATCCCTCCACTGGACAGAATGGGAGTGCTGCTCCCAGGGTGTGGGGGTTGCAGGCTGGGGCTGTTTCTCAGTCCTGGGGACACATCTCCAGAAGAGTCAAGTGTTTCTGGGGCTGGAGGGGAAGCTAGGGTGAGAGCAGAGTACAGAACCCCTCTAGATTACCTTAAGCAACCAAGCTGCTCCATCAGGGAAGAAAAAGCTCCATAGCAACAGGAAGCTGTAAGTCACCATAGCAATCCAGTTGCAAGAGAACCCCCCTACCAAGACGCAGGAAATTGTCAGCGGCATCATTAGAGCAACCAGGGAAGAAGCGACAGGAAACTATAAGGATTGCCGTGGTGAACCAGGAGGGTACAACAGGAAGCTGAAGCAGTTTCCATAGAAACCCAAGGAGCACTAGAGAGAGAGGTACAGAGGAAGTGCTTCTTAGCAACAGGCTGCTGTAAGCATTACCCTAGCAACCAGATGGAAGGCTCTTTTAGCAATGGGGAAGCTGTACATAGTTGTCATGGCAACCGGGCCACTTGGCTAGAGAAAGGAATTGCTCAGCAGCAAGCAGCCTGAACATCACCATGATGACCCAGCTGTTGGGAGCCACCCCTTGAGAGGTGCCTCACCCAGGGCAATTTGCTTGACGTCCAGATCCCAGGCCTCCTCCTCGACGCGGGCAGGCAGGGAACAGGCTCCCGGGGAGAGACCGGGAAGGGAGGGGCCGGCATGCTCAAAGGATGACACGGCCACCGAGGCCCGGGTGCGGGCGGCTGCAGAGAGTGGGGGAGGTGGAGGGGTGGGGTGCTGGTGTGGGAAAGCCCTCCTGGCTCCCTGAAAGGACCCTCATCTCCTAGAGGGCCTCCCAGTCAGTCCCACAGTTTCTGAGAAGACATATCCACCTGTGACCCTTCCTCTCTTTCCACGCACCTCCTCACTGTGCATTCACTCTCAAGGTCTTAACTTCTGGGGGCCGCCCCCAGCACTCTGGCCCTCACCTCTTCCAGTGAGCAGGGCACTCAGTGTCCGCTCCCCAAGTGCTTTGATGTCCAGGAAGGGTTTATTCCCAATGCCCATGGAGACCATCTGCTGCACTCGGAGCTCTAGGGAACAGAGACCATGTTACCAATCTCTTTGCTCCTTCCCAGCTCTTCATTCCTCATTCTCATTCCCTTGGCATCTCTTGTTACTCTCCTGTTGACTGTTAGGACCCGGTGATGATGGTGGTCCTGGACTTCCCCCTCAGACATCTGTCTCTTCTCTCCTACCTGTTGCATCCTGCCCATTTGGCATTCCTGCTACCCAACTTCTCTTCTAATACTCACCTTCTTCCTTTTATCTTGGGCATTAAGAGCAAAATTCCCATTTTTACATACCTTTACGGTTTATCAAGTATTTCCATATATATCACCTTATTTAATCCTTCCTATCATACCAAGACATAGATGTTACTTTCCACTTTTCAGATGAGTGGAATGAGAATTAAAGAGAATTAAAAATGAAAAACAAAAACTAGCAAAACACCGCTCAAAACAAAACAAACTAGGTTTGCTAACACAGAAATTAAGTTCTGGAAGGTAAGGCAGGTGCACTGAGCACCCGCTGACTCTCTTTTGCCCAGCCATTTGTGCTCACCTTCCTGAAATTTAGTGGCTTCCTCTTTTCTTTTGGTACACCTTAGATTAATTTCTATCTCAGCAGTCTCTTTCATGTCAGATCTTGAATCTTCTCATACATCCTTCTCCATCTTATACCCTCTTTTCCCCAGGCCCTCTCCAGCTAACCTCCTGCCATAACCTTGATCCCAAGCACACCCTCTCCTGGTTCTGCCCGGTACCCTTGTTGTGGGCTGCCTGTCTCCACAGCAACTGGGCAATAGAACTTGTCCACTTGAGTTTGATCTCTGGTGAGGCTGCCTGCAGGGTGTACGCCTCTCGTGCACGCCGCCGCCGAAACCACAACTCAAAGCAGAGCCCACTGTCCCCGATGTTTTCTGTTAGCCCCATGTCGGCAGTCTGAGAAAGAGCAGAGGAGTGTGGGTGAAGATGAAGCGCGTCCCGACTAGATGGTACCATGTGGAAAAGCAGTACACTTAGCTTGGCATCTGGGAGATGCTCAGTAAATGTTTGCTCAACACCTACCCTGTGCCAAGTGCTCTACATTTAGCCTTCATAACAACCGCGATTTACAGAAGGGGGGCCTGTGTAAAACCCAAAGCCTCTTGTCCAAAGGCTTATCATAGCTTATTAGAGAAAGTTCAAGCCCATGGCTCTGTTATTCCAAACCTAAGCTTTTTTCTCTATACTGGCCTCTGTTGGAACTAGTATAGGAGGACTCAGTCAGAGAAACTCTTAGAATCATGCCACATTGCCTGATCTGGGACTAGGCTGCTATTGATGTGTATCTGGATATCAAGGCTGTTTCCCTAAAGCAAGTCCTCCTCCCTCCTCTTGGTTTCTTCAGTTCCATAAGTTAAGCTGTATTTATAGTGTTGTCTCTTCATTCATCCCCCAGGGACCATCCCTAACTCAGAAAGCATGTGTGTCCTTAATGGGGAAGGCCCTCCTCCCTTCTGGTTTGGAATGCCCCGTGAATCTCCTGTGTGAGTAAGAACCTCATGCAGTAGATCAACGACAAGGACTTCTGTCACCTTGACACCCTAACCTGATGTTTGATTACAGGCCAAAGCCTGTTCTCCATGATACAGATTCTGAACCTGGGTTGGGATTGCGTTTTCTAGAACATCCTGAGTTCTCAAGAAGAGCATGATTTCCTGTCCTGTCCCTGTGGCTTACCACCACCACCCTGCCCCCAGGCGTTGTACCTTAAAGGCCTGCTTGTAAACGAAGGTCTCTGATCCCCCCTCAGGGCCCTTGAGCTTGCTGAACAGGAGGAGATGCTCAAAGAGAAAGACATGACGAAAGCACTTTTTTCGGCCACAGATGACTGTGAAAGGGTCCCGATGCAGGAGTTGTCCCTGCTCCTTCAGATCTATCTGGGGAAAGCAAAAGGAAAAGTCATTGGCCCTGGGGCCCTTTATATATATTTTATGGGGTGTAAAAATGGGCTTTATAGGGCAAGGGGCCTAATGCACTGGTTCTCAGGCAGAGCGAGGAAATCAGGGAAGCCCCTGGCCTAGAATCCATCTACTGGTCACCATACACGGCACATCTGTCATGGTAGCACAGCCCTGCCTCTGAAGACAGAAGATGTATCACACAGTAGGGTTTAGAGCCTCCAGTGGGTAAGCCTTTGCATGTTGGGGACCAAAGCACCATTTTGCCCCAGGAAGAGAATCAAATCAGCCAAGACCTGAAGGGAAAAGAGGTCTAACCCAGTGGAGGTAGGTTTCCAAGCTGTTCTGGAACCTTAGGGCTGGAAAGAGACTAAGGAGAGGAGAGTAGTTATGTGTTGAGTGTTAAGATACAGAATGAACTGCAGGGTAGATGTAGATAAGAATTAGCAAGGGAATAGGAAAGCAGATGGGATGTCAGGCAGGACATAGCTTCTTTATTAGTAGATGAGGAAAATTGAGGGCCAGTGAAGTTCAGTGACTTGACCAAAGCTATCCACGTTGTTAGAAATGACAGCCTGGGGCCCTCTGATACTGAGTCTAGTTCCCCGGTCACCAGCCCACACTGCTTCTGAGGTCACAGGGCGGCCGGGCCGGTCTATCTGGAGCCACGCCCTTACCTCACAGCCTCGCACCGCCTCTGCAGCCAGCAGGTCTCTGCCGCGGATCTCTTGTTCCTGGAGCAGCTGCGCAGCGGCCCCAAGGGCCTGGCGCTCAGAACTTGGCTCAGGCCCAGCTTCCCTTAGGAGCTCCTCCAAGAGCCGCCCATACCTGGCCAGCTGCTCCAGGGGCTGCTGCAAGGCCCGGGGCAGGTGAGGGCCCCCCTCCAAGGTGCCCTAGTATGGGGAGGAAACAGGAATGAGGGGAGGTGCTAAGACCTTTGGGGAAGATGGGCAGTACTCTGGGTTTTTAGGGGTAGATCAAGTCCAGATGGGCTTCCCAGGTGGTACTAGAACCCACCGGCCAATACAGCAGACTTAAAAGACTCAAGTTTGATCCCTGGGTCAGGAAGATCCCCTGGAGGAGGACATGGCAACCCACTCCAGTATTGCCTGGAGAATCCCATGGACAGAGGTGCCTGGCAGGCTACGGTCCATAGGGTCACACAGAGTCGGACATGACTGAAGCAACTTAGCATGCACCCACAAGCCCAGATACACCCAAAGGTAAGGTGAGAAAACTTTCTGCACTAAGAAAGGAGGTAGGAGGCCTGCATGAGACTCAGACATCCTCTATATCTTAAAGGAGAATGGAAGAGGAATAATCCCTTGATTCTCCAGCTTTTAACTTTTGAAGTCACTTTCACGTCTTTTGATGTGAGGTCTTTTGACCCTCCGAGCAGTCCATTAGTTAGATGTAGTGAATACTGCCCACTTTTACTGGATACAGAAACAGTGGCCCGGAGGAATCAAGACCCTTGCCCAAAGTCCTCAGGTGGACCAGATGTGATCCCAGCTTCACCTGGTTTCCAGACCAGTGCGTGCCCCACCCTCAGCAATTCTGGGAGATTACTGGTAGCTGATGCTCCACGGCATGTCTAGGAAAGCTTTTTTTTCCCCTGAGAGATTTTGAGGTTGGCTGAATTTTATGTCTTCCTGGCTTTTCCCCTCCTCATGAGAGTAGGAGAAAAAGTTACCTTGGTTGGGGGACTGAGGGCAGCCAGACCGGTCTCCAGTTTGTGCCGGTGCTTCACGTACTGGGCATAAAGGCTGAATTGGTCCCCCTGTGCCAACAGGGAAGCAGTAAGTCATCTCCATGAGGCCCTGCAGACCAGCCTCTCCCTCTCCTCCTCCACATCCTGTGCGGCCGGGGAAGGAGGGCCCGGCCCCCGGGGAGCACTCAGTCTGCCTGGGGAATGACAGGCTCCGGTAGAGAGAGCAAAGGCCAGGCAGCCCTGAAGCTGGGGGGGGGACACAAGAGGCGGAGTAGATCCAGGAGCCCAGCAAACAGCACTAGGCCTCAGGACCTGGGACTGCACATGCCGGTGGGGGGAGGGGGGAGGAGAAAGGTACTGAGAAGGAGGGACCCTGGATGGGGCTGAGACATGTGAAGGGAGAAGCCCTGGAAGAAATTTTAGAGGCTGACTCACATGGCGAAGGAAGCAGGCCCCAATGCGCAGGGGGTGGGCGGTGCAGCCCTGAAGTTCCCGCAGAAAGTGTGTCCGGTGGAAACTGCGGAGCCTCTCCCGGGCGCTCAGGGCAGCGGCCCACGTGCCCCGCAATTCTGGGGTCAGCTCAGGCCCCGGGGGTGGCACCGGCTCACTCAAGGCCGCCACATATTCTTGCTCACAGGTAATCAGCTCAGACACCAGACGCTGCTGGGCGCTGCAGTTACCACAGGGAGAGACAGGGGAGGCTGTGGCATGGGAGGCAGTCGCCACCCCGACAATGTCACGTTCTTCTCCTGCAGGGCAGCTTGGGCTCTCACCTGATGCTCCTCTTGCGCTCCATCCGGGGGGTGCCCACGCCCCAGGGCCCTTCTGGTCCCCCGGCCCGGCCCAGCAGCACGTGTTCCCGGGGTGAGCACGTCCTGTCTACCACCTCCGTACTGGTGACCTCCAGGCCTCGGATCAGCACAGTCCTTGGTGGTCTGCCTTCTGCTTCCGGACCCATCTCAGCACCCTCCTCCTCATAGTCCTCCCCACAGGGGGCCAGGGAGCAGTGGGACGGGGCTGCCCGTGGCCCAGGGCTGCTGGGGAGCAGCAGGGAGCTGAGGCTGGGTGAAGGGCTGTGGGGGCCCCGCGGGGCCCCTCCGCTGCTGGCACTGTCTGCCCGTCGTCGCCGTTGGCCCCGGGGACTCGCCTCCTCCCCCAGCTGTTGCTGAATCCTCCTCTCCAGCTCTTGGCAGCGGGCCCGGCAGCGGCCCCATTCTCGCAGGGCTGCTGGGCTGCCCAGGTCCAGGGCCAGGGCCCGCATCTCCTGGAAGGTGCCAGCGCTGGGCTCTGGGGCGCGCCGCAGGGCCAAGGCTGCCAGCACCGCCTCCCGCCCTGGTCCTGCTCCTGCCAGCCTCGCAGAACCTTCGTCCACCCATTCGTGTGCCTGCAAGGCCAAAGGGATGGGGAGTGGGGACAGGAAAGGGTGAGGTCCTGGGCCACTCCCGCGAGCTGCCCCATGGCAGCTCCTGTCCTCCTTCACCTGATGGCTTCCCAAGGCCCAGCACCACCACCTCCTCTCAGAACACCTCCCCTCACTGTCCTGCATCACTGCCTAATGTGTTATTCTGAGCTGGTATGGAGACAGAGAAGCCTAAATGAAGATGGCCAATACACAGAATTTACAAGTGGCAGGCTCTGTACTGAGTGCTTATTACATACCGCTTATATAATCCTCATGCAGCCCTGTGAGGTAGGTGCCATGAGGCACACTTGGGTTTAGTCTCCTGTCCCAGGTCATTCATCAGGTGGGTGATAGAGCCCAGAGCCAAAGCCCAGGGGAGGCCTCCTAAGTCCTGGCTTCTAACAGCTCCCAGATTAGCTTCTCCAGGCAGAAGAAAGGTGGCAGCGGGCACCGGAAGAAAAGGCTCGGCACATACCTGCTGGAAGAAGCGCTGTAGCCGCAGAGCCCGATGGAGGCCACTCTCCACCTGCTCCAGGCGCTGTTCAAAGACATCCAGAAGCTTCTGGGAGGCAGCGTCCTCTTCCAGGGCCAGAGTCTCCCTTGCCTGAGCCAGGCGCTCCTGGAGAAGCGAGGCTGCTCTGAGGCCCGGCCCTCAGTCCGGCAGTCTCCCCTTCCTCCCTGCTCCCCCTTCTCACCTGAACCTCAGCACTGAAAGCCCGGAACCGTAGCTCTGTCTCCTGCAGGGCAGGCAGGGAGTCCCCAGGCACGGCAAAGCTCGCCAGCTGCTCCTCTCCGGGGCCCGAGAGCCACTGCAGTGCCTGGGGCAGACGGTGGGAGAGCAGGTCCATGAGGGAGAATGGCAGGGCGAAGGAGAGCTGAGGTCCAGCTCCCGCCTCACCACCCTAACTTGTAGAAGTTGGGGGAAACCACATCATCTCAGCGGTCAAGTGGAAATAACAGTGAGTGGTGATAACTTCCACAAGGGTCAAGTGAGAAAGTGAGGAAGAGATCTTTGTAAAACACACTTTGAAGGGGAGGCTGGGCTGTTAGGAAGCACTGAGAGACCTGTGCTAGGGTTCCAGGGCTATGCCTGGAGGTGAAATAGATAAAACTAGTGTGAACTGGAGGCATGAGGGCCAGAAGAAATTTCACATTTACAGAGCCTAGTGACGGGGGCAGTAGTTCCAGGGACTGGGCCTGGAGAGACAACTCAGGTTTGTGTGTGTGTGTGTGTGTGTGTGTGTGTGTGTATGTAGCTCTGGTTGCCTATTATGGGGCTCTAGGAACTCTCATGTTGGTTCTGGGATGTTTGACCAAAAAGGGATGGTAATTCCTTCCTCTGAAGAAAGGCTGGAAGCTGGGGCAAGACAGCCTGAGGACAAGAAGTCTGAGAATGTTCCCAATAACCTGTGCCAACAATAAACACTTCTGCAGTCCTCTGCTCCTCTGCTGAAATCATTTGCTCATCCTAATGCCCTCATGAGGTAGGCCTTACTGTCACCCCCATTCTGCAGACGAGGACGTGGGAATTCAGAGATGTTCCATGGCTTGTCCAACTTCTCACTCTTAGCAGAGCACAACTCAAACTGAGCACCTTAGACTCCAAATCCTGTGTGCTAACAGTTTTTAAGCAGGAGGAAAAAAGCTAATAAGCAAGCAAGCAAACAGTAGGAGAAGCAGAGGGTTAGGTTTTATGTGAAGCAGAGTGCCTGGAAGAGGACGCCATCAGATTACACTGGTGGCTCAGACGGTAAAGCGTCTGCCTGCAATGTGGGAGACCTGGGTTCGATCCCTGTGTCAGGAAGATCCCCTGGAGAAGGAAATGGCAACCCACTCCAGTACTCTTGCCTGGAAAATTCCATGGATGGAGAAGCCTAGTAGGTTAAAGTCCATGGGATCGCAAAGAGTTGGACACGACTGAGTGACTTCACTGGTTCACAGACCTGGATGCTGGAATGTGTGTGTGTGCTTAGTCGCTCAAGAATCCTGGAGTGAGTGGCCATGCCCTCCTCCAGGAGATCTTTCCAACCCAGGGATTGAAGCCAGGTCTCGAATCCAAGTCTCCTGCATTGCAGGCAGATTCTTCACTGTCTGAGCCACCAGGGAAACCCAGATGCTACAATGGAGGAAGCTAAATATGCAGAAATCGAAGAAAAAGACAGCCCTGCCCCTACTCTCCTTTGTCATTGACCCTGAGATGACCCTTCCCCCGAGGCCACATGCAGTCCATGAGGTGATCACTCAGCACACTTAGGAGTTATGGAGGAGCAATAAGATTTCAAATCTCCCTTTACCCTACAAGATAGGGTGGAGAGCAAATCTCTCTGGCACTCTTAACCCCAGGAGAAAAAATTAAGGTTCAAAAAAGCAAGTCTTATCATAAAGAGACCAGTTCCCAAGGCATTTAGCAGCTTCCATCATCCTCTCTTTCTAAGGTGGAGGGAGGTGGGACCTTTCCAGCCTCAGGTTTGGGGATGATATTGCCTAAGGAGCGGACAGAGCTGGTGTCAATGGACATTTGTTACTTCTGAGTTAAGGAGGTAGGCTATCAGAATCAATAGACTCTTCCTACAGTCCCCAAGGGCACCCGAGCATCTCACAATTTCTAAGGATCCTTGAGATCAAATATCAATGGTGGGAAGGGGAGATCTGGCTTCTCTTCCTTGCTGGTGCTGAAATGCCATCTCCCTTTTGCTGAATCTCACACTGACCATGATCAACTTCCAAGGAGATGAAGAGGGCGGGAGGGTTGTTCAAGTCAGGTTAGGAGAACACCATCAACTGTAAGTATCAGTGGGAAAAGCGTTGCTGGAGGCCAGGCCCTCAGGCGGAAGGAGGCACGGGGGAGGGGGTGCTGGCTCACCTGCTGCAGTCGGTGCGAGCGTTGCCGCTGCTCCTGCTGCTGCACGTGCAGATTGGAGAGGCGCACGAGCTGGTGAATGGCTTCATCTACCTCTTGATACAGTGCAGCTGGACCTGGGCCTTCCAGCCTGGGGAGGAAGAGGGGCAGAATTAACCACTGCCCTCATCAAGCTCCCCTCCAACCCCATCGCATCCTTGCATTCCAACGTGAGGGGTGACAGCATCCTAGGTCAGCAGATGGGCCGGTATCTGAATCCTGACTCTTCCATTTACTGACTGACCTTGGCCAAGGCATTAAACATTTCTGATCCTCCAAATCTCCATTTATAATCATGACTAGCACCTGGGGATGTTATGAGGGTTGTAAATGGAGAAGCATGATATCCCGTCCAGATAACATGCTTAGTAAGAACTTTCTGGCAGCTAAGGTGAATTGGCAGTTCTCTGCTGTGTCTCCATCGTGCATGTCCACCTGCCCCGTGCATCCATCCCTCGTACTTGCTGCTGTGGGTGGAGCGCAGCTTCATCAGGATGGCTCCTCCGTCCCTCTGCAGTTCCGTCAGCCGGGGATCTGCCAGTACCTTCTGCAGGGGCTCAGGCATTCCTATCACCTCCTGGTAGGCAGGGAGAAATTGACAGTTAGGGTTCCACCAGAAGGTCCTCAGCTCAGCTCAGCCCCATCCCCACCTCCACCTCATGCCCTTTGGTCCCGTCTCATTTCATACCTCTCCCTCTGACTCTGCTGCTCTCTCTAGCTCCTCAATGGCTTGCCGTATAGAGCCCAGCACGCCTCGGCACAGGCGGCACAGCCTTGCCACTTGCTGAAACAAACATACGGGGATGGAGTCCAGGGACAGAGTCTAGGATAAGGGACCTAAGCCCGACAGTGGAGGTGGGGCAGCCCTAGAGACTTTTATGAGGCAATGCTGGATTCAGTTAGTAAGTAGGTTGTTGCTTACTAACTATATGACTTTAGGCAGGTCCAGAAAATTCCCTGAACCTCAGTGTTCTCAACTGTAAAGACGTACCAGATTTAAAGGTTTAAAGACCCTACATAAGCATAGGACTGACACATTTTACAGCTTAGTAAACATGAATCTCCTTTCTGTCATCTGCACTGCCTCTTCACACTATAAAACCCACCTCTCTGCCTATTCAGATACACTTCCCCTTTAATCAACAGCTTAGAGACCATGTTACAGACCCCCTTTAATACTCAGCTCAGATCATATTCAGACCTCTTTTCTTGAAGACAGCACTCAGATTCATAAAATCAGAGATGTCCCAATTGGTGTACTCTGTGGGCAAAAATCTTGAGGCTGGAATGTTGGTGCAGGCAGCAGGTACAGGAAGGCACTAACTCCAGAAGTAAGTAACTTGTTACAGGTCACATGGAACCAGAAACAGCCCCTCTGAGTCAGCTCTTCCTAGAACCCCAGTGACATTCTGCATGCTTCTGTTGTTTCTAATCTATCTTTGGCCAAAAATGATACGTTATTTAATGTCATGTTAAGAATCACAAAAAGAGAAGATTATATGCCAATATCACTAGTGAACATAGATGCAAAAACACTCAAAACAACATTAGTAAACCAAATCCAACAATACATTAAAAGGACCATGCATCATGATTAAGTGGGATTTATTCCAGATATGCAAGGATGGTTCAACATCTGCAAATTAATCAACATGAAACACCACATTAACAAAATGAAGGCTAAATATCACATGATCATCTTGATAGATGTGGAAAAACTTTTTCACAAAATTCAATATCCACTTATGATAAAAAAAAAAAAAACAACTCAATAAAATGGGTAAAGAGGGGAACACCTCAACATCATAAAAGCCACTTATGACAAACCTACAACGAACATCATACTCAATGATGAAAAGCTGAAAGCATTTCTTCTAAGATGAGGAACAAGACAAGGACATCTATTCACATCAGTTTTATACAACATAGTTTTGGAAGTCCTAGCCACAGCAATCAGAGAAAAAAAAGAAATAAAAAGGCATTGAAACTGAAAAGGAAGAAGTAAAATGGTCATTGTTTGCAGATGATATGATACTATACATAGAAAATTCTAGAGAAGCCACCAAAAAACTACTGTAACTCACCAATGAATTCAATAAAATTGCTGGATACTGAATTAACATATAGAAATCGGTTGCATTTTTATACACTAACAATGAACTATCAGAAAGAGAAATGAAGAAAACAATTCCATTTATAATAATATCAAAACAAATAAAATGCCTAGGAATAAACCTAACTAAGAAGGTAAAAGATTTGTACTTGGTATAACACATTGATGAAAGAAACTGAAGATGACACAAACAGATTGAAAGATATACCATGCTCATGGATTGGTGGAATTAATATTGTTAAAATGTCCATACTTCCCAAGACAATCTACAGATTCAAGGCAATGCCTATCAAAATATTAATGGCATTTTTCACAGAACCAGAACAAATATTTCTAAAATTTATATGAAAAGACTCTGAAAAAGACTCTGAATAGCCAAAACAATCTTGAGAAAAAAGAACAAGGTTGGAGGTATCATGCTCCCTGATTTCAAACTGTAACTACAAAGTTACAGTAATCAAAACAGTATGATACTGGCACAGAAATAGACACACAGATCAATGGAACAGAATAGAGAACCCAGAAATGAATCTACACACATATGGCCAATTAATCTATGACAAATGAGGCAAGAATATACAATGGAAAAAGACCATCTCTGCAATAAATGGTGTTGGGAGTACTGGACAGTTACCTGCAAAAGCCTCAAACTGGACTACTCTTTCACACCACGCACAAAGATAAATTCTAAATCGATTAAACACTTGAATGTAAATCCTGAAATAACAAAACTTCTAGAAGAAAATATAAGCAATATGCTTCTTGAAATCTTAGTATTATATTTTTGGATACATCTCTTTAGGGAAGGGAAACAAAAGCAAAAGTAAACAAATGGGATTACATCAAACTACATCGCCTTTGCGCAGTGAAGGAAACCATCAACAAAATGAAAAAACTCCCTACTGAAGGGGAGAAGATATTTGCAAACAATATATCCTATAAGGGGTTAATATCCAAAATATATGAAGAACTCATACAACTCAATATCAAAAAGGCAAGCAACCCAATTAAAAAATGGGCAGAGGATCTGCATAAACATTTTTCCAAAGAAGACATGCAGACATTGTTTCATGGCCAATAGGCACATGAAACAGTGCTCAACATTGCTAATAAACAGGAATGTGCAAATCAAAACCACCATGAGATATCACCTCACACCTGTCAGAATAAGTATAAGTGAAGATATGCAGAAAAGGGAACCCTCATGCACTATCGGTGGGAATGTAAACTGTATAAGCACTATGGACAACAGTATGGATATTCCTCAAAATATTAAAAATAGAACTACCATATGATCCAGCAATTCCACTCCTGAGTATTTAATGCAAAGAAAGTGGAAACAGTAATTAGAAAATATATATACACCTCTATGTTAATTGTGGCATTATTACAATAGCCAACATATGGAACCAATTTAAGTTCCCATCAGTAGATGAATGGCTAAAGAAGATGTGGTACACACACACACACACACACACACATGCACACACAGGAATATTACTCAGCCATAAAAAGGATGAAATCTTGCCATTTGTGACAACATGGATGGACCTAGAGGGTATTATGCTAAGTGAAATAAGTCAGACAAAAACAAGTACTGAACAATTTCACTTATATGTGGAATCTAAAAAACAAAACAAATGAACAAACATAACAAAACAGAAGCAAAGTTATAGACACAGGGAACAAACAGGTGGTTGCCAAAGGGGAGGGGGAGGAGAGGAGAGAAATAGGTGGGGGAGATTAAGAGGTACAAACTTTCAGTTGCAAAGGAAATCAGCCACAGGTATGAAATGTACAGTGTGGGGAATATAGTCAATAATTATGTAATATCTTTGTATGGTGACAGAGGTTAATTAGACATCATGGTGATCATTATGAAATGTATGGACATATTGAGTCTACTCTTGTATACCAGGAACTAAAATAGCGTTGTTGGTCAATTATACTTCAAAAACAAACAAACAAACAAACTCATAGAAAAAGAAGTCAGAGTTTTGTTTTTTAAAGGATGTAAATGAGGAGGGGGAATTGGACAAAGACGACCAGAACTTCTCTGGTAGCTCAGCTGGTAAAGAATCTGCCTTCAATGCAAGAGACCCTGGTTCATTTCCTGGGTCGGGAAGATCCACTGGAGAAGGGATAGGCTGCCCTCTCCAGTATTCCTGGGCTTCCCTGGTAGCTCAGCTGGTAAAGAATCCTCCTGCAATGTGGGAGACCTGGGTTCTATCCCTGGGTTGGGAAGATCACCTGGAGAAGGGAAAGGCTACCCACTCCAGTATTCTGGCCTGGAGAACTCCATGGATTGTATAGTCCACAGGGTTGCAAAGAGTTGGACAACTGAGTGATTTTCACTCACTCATTCAATCAAAAGGTAAAACTTCCAGTTACAAGATGTGATGTGTACTAGGGAAGTGATGTACAAAACAATATAATTAACACTGCTGTATGTTAAATATGGAAGTTGTTAAGAGTGAATCCTAAGAGTTTTCATCACAAGGAAAACAATTTTCCTATTTCTTTAATTTTGTATCTATATGAGATGATGAATATTCATTAGTGTTGTAGTCACTTCATGATTGTATGTAAATCACTGTGTTGTACACCTCAAACTTGGTCAGTGCTGTATGTCAACTATATCTCAAAACTAGAAGGAAAAAAAGAATTTATTTAACATACTCCTCCCATCTTCCCAGCAGCCCAGGGTACACGCACAATCTTTTGCTCATAAATACTTATTGAATGTGCTAATAAACACGTGTTGAATTGTGAACCATAACTACTTATTGAACTAAATGGACGGGAAACCATTCTTTCCCAGCTCCTTGGTCAAGTCTCAGATTTGCCATTTTTTCCTAGAAATGTCCTCTGCTGGGTCATTCCTGGCTCCCAGTGTCCTGGGTGGGGGAGAGGAAGCTTACCTGGTGTGTCTCTACCCAGTGACTGGGAGAGGGCTCCCTGTGACCTCCCAAGTCCCACTGCAGCTCCTCTGGCTTGGCCACTCTTTTCAGATCACCCTCTGATAGCAACTCAGCACCCTGGAGACACATGAAGACAGGGGGTTTTAGGCCTGGGCACCTAGGGATTCAGGGATTGACCAGGGGCTCCAACTAGTCTCTTCTCTCTCCATCATTGATGGGAACTAGGTGGGAATGAGGAGCTCAAACCTGAAGTCCATGGAGTTCAGCTGGAGGCTCATCAAGAGTGAGAAGCAAGAGCCGCTGAATGAGGGGAGGGTCTCCCGAGTCCTGAAGGCAGAGAAGAATAACCCTAAACTACAGGCGACTAGGTGGCCTGGAATGACCACTACGGAAGAGTTAGGACCCAGAAGTAGTAATCATCTCAATGGATTGGTTACCTGAAGTTGACTCAGGACAGGAATGAGAGCTGGAGGCAGTGGGGGTGCCTTGCGAAGATCCAGCAGGGCAGACAGCCCCAATATCTGTAGATCAGGTCTGTGGGGGCAGAAGAGCCAAGGAGACAGAGAGAGAATGTGTGTGTGTGTGTGTCACTCATCCTCAGGAGAAGTTAGATCCTAGCAATGGGCAAAGGATCAAACAAAGCCTGGGATGTGTGTCCAAGAGATAGTGATGACTAGCAATTAGGAGTCTATATTCATATGACCACTGGGTCATGGGATCAGAGTTTAAAGAGTTAGGAATTCTGTGCTCCAGAAGGATATGAATTCAATGCCAGCACCTAGCCTACTGCCTAATAGGTTCTGGGGCTCAAGAAATAGTTGTTGGATGAGTGAATCAACATTTTTATAATCTAGGTAGCATCTTATGAGACTGAGTCAGCAGGGTTGGTTTTGAGGATTGATGAAGACATTCTGCAAGTCAGGGGGTCAGGAAGGTCAGACGTCAATGATTTGAACAATCTGAGGGTTGTAGAAGTAGGTGTCCTAGAAGGTCAGCATCCTGTGGAGAGAAGAGGGCAGGGTCCTTATGACCCAGGAGGTTACTGTGCAGGGTGTCAGCCTGGGCCTCAGTTACCTGAGCAGTGAGTGAAGGTAATGAAGAGCAGTGCTCAGCACGTCTTGGGAGGGTGGGGGCTCCTCGGGAGGGCACGGTGGGGTAATGGTCAGCAGAGCTCGCCCACTCTGGTCCACCCCTCCTGAGGACACAAAATGGCCAGGCTGTCCTGGCTGGGGGCAGGCTTTGGCTCCCTCCCGTCTACCCCGCCTCCCTCTGCAGCCCACCCTGGAGGCTTTTCCTGCCTCAACCCCTTCCCTTCAGCCACTGCTGCCCACTGACCAGTCAGGACGAGGAATCCAGATGCCATTAAGTCCCAAGCTGCACCAGGGTCATCAGAGATGGAGACTGGGGGGCCTTCTTCCGGAACGCTCTCCCCTTTCACTTCTTGCACAGTCTCTGGGGATGGTTTTAGGGGGTCGGAGAGGAGCCCTTCTGGATCGTCGGGCGCTACAGACACAGGGCAGAGGACAGGTCTGGCTGTTCTGCTCCCAGCCTCACCTCTGCTTTTCCTCCAGCCCCCTTCCCTAGGCCCCACCGAGCCCGGCCCTTGCCCGACTGGCCTCAATGTTGTCTCACCTGCCACGCACACCAGGCTTAGCCCCTCCTGTTCTCTTTCTCTGGCGCTTTCTTCTACAGGCTTGCAGACTTCTTGGGACCGAGGCTCTTTTTCGTCTTCTAGTTTGAGCTCCTCTCTTGATTCATGTTCTGGTTTCCCGGAACCTTCATGTTCCTCCTTAACTGGGCTGCATCCTGGAAGCTCGTGTTCGTTTGGTGGGGGCAGGCTGACAAGGGTTTCCTGGTGGCTGGTCTCTTCCTTGTCCCCAGGGCTCAATGGGGCACTGTCCCCTCCTCGGTTAAGAGCCCCTCTGCCCGCAGCTCGCTTCTTTCTCCTGTTTCCTTTGCCTGTTCTCCGAGGGGTACCAGGCAGCCCTTCGGCCCCCTGGCCTGGTCCTGCTCCAACCTCCCCTGGCCTCAGAGGGCAAGACTCAGAGGCTTCTCCCAGTGCCTCTGCCGGGGGCTCAGCTACCTCCAGGGCTGCTGCCTCTGGGAGAGCCTCAACCTCAGCTCCCGGGGGAGACCCAGGGGAGGCTCCAGTGCTGCTCCCCTCACCAGGCGGCCGGGCTCCATCCTGGTCCCGAGGCCCCAGACCCTTCTGGTGCATCCACGCCCGGTGTCTCCGATGCCGGCCCTTCCCTCCAGCAGCCTTGCGTGTGGGTACTGTCCGGGTCCGGGAGAGGCCGGGGGAGCCTTCAGCATCCATGGGGCTCCCCCTCACAGGCAGTGTCACCTCCAGCAGCTCCACATACTCGCCCTCAGGTCCTTCAGCGGGGGCATTGTGCCCGTCCCCGGGACTCCGGGTGCCCAAGGCTTCCTCAGGGAGTGGGGGGCTGGGGAGCCCCGGGGGCCCAGAGGGCAGTTCTGGGGGTAGTGTGCTTGGCCGATGTCCAACCATGAGGCCTCCTTTGTGCACAAATCGAGGGCAGATGAGCTCAGCCCAAGGCAGTCGCTGAATCCCAGAGGGCGCAGACAGGAGGCAGGTGCTGAGGCGACCTGTGGGCCTGTCCTTATTGATGCCTTGTAGCCACTCAGGTGTGAACAGGTATGCACAAGCCTCATTAGGCACAGGCAGCTCCTGCACTCGCCCACCCCCTGGGGCCAGGCACTTGAGTGCCAGGCGGGGTGCTTGGGCTGCTGAGGGTACCACTTGCAGGTAGAAGTCTCCCGGGCGCAGCAGCTGCCAGGGGAGGGCGGCCAGCTGCACCACTACCTGCTCATGCAGGCAGAGGGGCCAGCCCTCGTGGAAGAAGAGGAAACCGCTGTACTGGGCCTGGGGAGATAGGGGGCAGGCTGTGCTCAGGCCTCTGCTGATGAAGCCAGCAGGAGGGGCTAGTTAGAATGGGACTAGCCTAGGCAGGAGTGGCCTTATGCCTGGTGGGTTATGACTCCAGGCGAGCAGGAGGAGATATTTTGCTGTGTGCAAGTGACAGAGGAAAGGATTGGGACTGATCGGTTTTCTAGTGGTAGGAAGCTTCTCTAGGAAGCTGGTTCCACGAGTAGGAGGGGAAGAACTGAGTCATTATAAAGATGTGGACAGCAGATGCCATTGTTTTGGAGGAGTTGGAGACTCTTAGGAGGTCTTTAGAGCTGTAGAAGTGACTTTGTTGAGTCATTCTTGGGGGAGTCAGTATCTTGAAAAAATTGATATGAGGAGGGAAATGTTTAGAATTTGGTCTGGAGGGTCAGCGTCTTTGGGAGTTGATGTTTCTCAGGGGTCAATATGGGAAGATGAGTGTCTATGTGTTAGTATCTGAGTGGTAAGTGTCTCTGGGGGCATCAGTATTGGGGAGGCAGTGTCTCTGGGTGGGGGGAAATTAGTCTGATTGGTGTCTGGGGTGAGGCAGTGGATCTTAGGGGAGACAGAATAGGAACGTGTTCACTTACACAGGCTTCCTGCTGGATCTTGGCGAGCAGGTGCTTGGCAGGCACCAGGAAGTCCAGTGTGTATCTCAGCGCGTCCTCCCGATAAGTCCTCTCCACCACCTGGAACACTTGGCCCAGCAGTGTGGGGGCTGTTGCCTCGAAAGGTGGGTAAAGGGCCGCTAGAGTACTCTGCACACAGTCCTCTACTGGCTCAGGCTCCTGGGAGAGACAAGATCAGACAGTGGATCCCTAGAGATCACCAGGCATGGTTCCTTAAAGGCTGGCGTTGTCCCCCAGGGGCCCCATCATGTACAAAGTGTGTGTAGAGAGATGGTATTCAGGAAATGCTGGCTGAATGAGATGGGAGTGGGGTTGGGCCAGTCAGAGTGCACTCTGAGACCTTGGTTTTGGAGATCTGGGGAGACTTTTCTGTGAATGTCTTTGATCAGGGCTGAACCTGGTTCTTGTACATTGGGATAATTGCATAGGCCCTCTTCCTCAAGAAGAGATGGGCCCCTGGGCCATCAGGGAAGTCACAGGTGGCTGAGAGTTCTGCAGGGTGGAGCCTTTTGACACAGCCATCCTACTAGTCCCTCCTCACAGGGCCTACCAACCAGAGACCCCCTTTTTAAGTAGAGGTGCCACCACCCATGAGCAATCATATGCTAACGGTCATTGGGTGGGAAGAAGAAGGACTGAAGGGCTATCTGTCTTGAGTTTTTCTAGCACCCCTCATCCTCTCGAGTGGCTCTCAAGCAATCATCCATTCCCAGAGTATGCAGGATTAGGTTACAAAGACTTGGGTGGGGACAGCTGAAAGAGGGAAAAGTCACAAAAGGAACGTGTAGGGAAGGGAGGAGGAGGCCTTGCTGGTATGTATTGGAGCTGAAATATTTTCTGATTTCTGTAGCGCCTGTCTGACAACCTCCATCATGGGCCACTAGCTCAAAACTTCTCAGCCCTGTTTCCTCTAGACTCACCTCCCTAAGTGAATCAATTGGATATCTTTCTCCATCTCAGAACCTAAACAGCCACCCCTCAGGCTATTCCTTTATAAACTTACTTCTCTTTCAAGGTGGCTTTGAAATTCCTTTTATCAGATTTCTTTGCTGTAACTGGGCAAGGGTGATGCTCAAATTGAAGTGTTTACTTAGTTCTCTACTCCTAACTGCCCTCCCCACCCCCTACTCCGCCGGCTCTGCCCTGAGGATAAAACTGCATATTTTACTTTGAGTCCTTCCAGCCTAAGTGTTACAAGCCTGTCCCGACAGTCTGAGAAGCGAGGCTGCCACTCCAGAGACCCACAGTCAGTGCGTCAGCACCGCGACCCGGCCCCAAGGTGTGTGGGCGAGCAGACAGACCCCACAGTGTTCCGGGGACCCGGCCAGCTCCGGGAGCGTGGGTGGGGGAGGGTGGGGATGGGCGGGGTGAGGCAGAGTGGGCCGTCCCCTCGGAGGCCTGGAAGGGGGAGCTAGAGCTGGAGCAGCGAGGCAGCTGCAACCCATTAGGGGCGGTGAGCTCATGGCTGAGAGAGAGTCTCAGCCACAGGAAACGGCAGCGGCAGGAGGGGAGGAGGGGTCGGGGGTGGGAAAGGCCGGGCAGGAGCTCAGCGACCCGGCCTCCAGCCGGCGCGGACCAAAGAGGAGAGCAGAGAGACTGAGTCAGCTCTCCCTGGCCCAGTTCCTCTTTCTTCTTGTTCCAGTCTCCCTGCCAGGGGCTGCCCTTCCTTCTGTGGAGGAACAACCCCGGTGGTGCTCCTACCCCTCCTCCACTCCCTGCTGTGAGCGCCCCCTGGCAGGGCCTCTCCCCCTCCTCCACTCCCTGCTGTGAGGGCCCCCACGGCCGTGCCCCCCTCCCATCCCTCCGCAGTGGGCGCTCTCCCTGGCAGTGCCCACACCTGCAACGACCCTTTAGAGAGTACTTTTGGAGTGAGAGTTCACAGGACCATGTCCACTCCTATAGGCACGGCCGTCCTCTAGCAGCGCCCTCCGGTTTCCTGTGCCCTCGAGTTGTTGCTGCCAGGGTCCCCGACCCGCTGCAGCGGGAATGCTCGAGACAGTGCTTCGCTTCCCTGCAGCGGGAGCTCCGGGGTACTCCTCCCCCATCGCATCTCGGGTCGGCTCTGGCATCGTTACGCCCCCTGGCACTGTGGGCCCCCTCCCCATTCTGTCCACTACTCTGAGGCAGCATCTCTTTCTCCGCGGGAATTTCCCTTTTTGGCGAGGTCCCTGGCCCCAACTCAGCCGCAGCTGTGGCCGGTCCCCCAGGGCCGGATGGGTGGGCCCGGGGTGGGGACCGGGATGGAAAATGGTGGTTCCAGGCAGGTCATTTCTCAGGACCCGAGGCCGGGCCCCCCTCCAGGGCCGCTGCAGCACGAACCCGCAGGGGTCTCCCGCGGGTAAGGAGTTGGGACCGGGAGGGGGAGGGAGGATCCTGCAAAGGAAAGCACAAGTCAGGACAGAGGAGGGCGAGGGGAGGTATGTGGATGGGGGGAGACCTAAGGGAGCTTGGGGGAGGGCGGAAGAAGAGGGGAAGAAAGGAGTGAGGGCTATTGCCCTCAGACTCAGTGGGGCAGACAGGCAGATCAAAGAAAAGAAGGGGGGATGGGAGGAAGGAGAATCCCAGGAGCGCTCAAGAGTTCCAAGCTGGAGCAGGAGGCACCCAGCTGGGGGCTGGCGATCCGCAGAGGACGGCGCGAAAGCGGAGGGGACACCGGGTGGCGACGCGGGACTCACCATGGCTCGGCTCGCGGCCGCGTCCGACGCTCGGGCCGGCGGGNACAGGAAAATCGGGGGATTCCTCCCACTCTCCAGGGGCTTGCCTGCCCTCCTCCTTCCCCTCCCATCTCCTCCGGCCTCGAGCCTTCGGGCTCCGACAATGGGCTCCTCTGTGCGGCCTGGGGAGGGCGGGGGCGTGGGGGAATTAGGGAGCCGAGAAGGCTTGGGGAGGGGGGTTGGACGTCGAGGCTGAATGCGCGGAGTCCCGGGATGAGGCTCCTCCTGCCGAGGCGGACGTTTTCTGAGTTCTTTCCTCGCTGCCCCTTCCCCTCTGAATACCTCATCCTCTCCCTTAGTTAGCGGAGGGAAGGCACCAGACCCCGTTCAGCAGCCCCACCTCCGGATTCCAGACCCTTCGTTCTTTGGGGGGTGGCGAAAGAGAGTCTCCTGGGGCTGCTAGAGCTCTTGGTGGCGGGGATGGTAATCTGACGCAGTAGACAAAGGGGGTAGGCTAGTTAAGAAAGTTCTCGTCTCACCCATCCTCCACCTCGTCTGGATGGCAAATGAAGCCCTGACGAGGGTCCCCCAGGAGGGCCAGAGGAGGCTTAGGCAAAGCAGGGAGATGCTCTGCCCCTCCTGTGAGCGGGCACCTGGAAGCCGTGCAGGGGTGGGCAGGGGCACTTCTAAGGAGTGGGCATTTGAGAAGATAGGAGAGCCAAATAGACCCCAGAGACGGACGTGAATGCAGGTACCACTGCGACTGGGGAGGGGGTGACGTTTGGAAAACATCCTGCCTGGGATGCAGCTCCGACGAAGCCAGGAGGCATGAGCCTGAGGGCAGTCTTTGGAACCTAGGCAGGCGGAAGGGTGGGGATGGAGGGGGCGTCGCTTAGGTGATGGGCTCTTCTCTCACCTCCTCTGAACGCTAATCTCCGCCCTTTTCTCCTCTCCGCCGGGTCTGGAAGAGAGGAGAGAAAATATTCATTCTTTTGGAGGCAAGAAGATCCCTCTGCTCAACAGCGTAAAAAAAAAAAAAAAAAAAATCTAGGGCAGCAAACCTCAGTGCCCATCTTTCCAGCACAGTCAGAGGCAGGGAGCTGGAGCTCTTGTCCATCAGTGAGCTCTCTAGACATCCAGCCTCCCCGGGCCTCCTTATAATTAGTGCTGAGAACTGGGAGAGTGAGATTTTGCTACCCCCTGGTGTCCACTCTGTAAATGCGACCCAGTGGCTGGTTACAGAGGCCAGAATTTAGGTGACTTACTTAGGGAGTTTATTATGAACCCTATTCATTTGTTTCCCCAGCTCACCCATTCCCAGTGTTGACAGAGTCTGAAGTTTTCATCATTAGATCTTAACATTCTTTATAGTCAAACAAATTGTTTGGGGAACAGTTGGTAGAATCTGAGTTTCCCACAAAGCTGGCTCTTTTAGTCTGTGATCTCCTGGGGGAAAAAAAAGAGAGGATATTCCCCCCCCACCCCGGAAAAAAGGGAGTTATTGAAAGTGTTTGAGTCTACGGGTGGGGGGTTTTGGATGCAGGCTCTGAAATCAAGTTATTTCTTTCCATGAGTTTTAATCCGTGCTAAATTAGAAAGGTTTATTTAAGTAAATAAGGAGACAGATATGCATATAGTGGTTAAATGCCACTTTCTCCAAGGATGCAGGCTTTTACCTAATATCTGTGCATCTATGCACAGCTGTATGTGTGTATGTGTGTTGATGTGAACGTTTCGGGGAGATGATGAAGTAGAAAGATTAAAATGGAGGAAATAGAGACTGGCAATAGACCAGACTTAGAAACTCTCTCCAGCATTCACTAAAAGTTCTCAGTATATTTCACCAATTTCAGATTCTTTGGAGTGTAACAAACTTGCGTTTTACAGATGAAATTCTGGCTTATTTGAAATTAAAAAACAAGCTGTAAGCTATACAGTAAGTGGAGAAGCCAGAATCTGAATCCCAGCAGCCTGACAACAGAGCCTTCATTCTCAACCACTGTCATAGGGTTTCATCCAAGCTGTCAAGCAAGAGTCCATATAGAAAGTGCTTTGAACACTACATCACCTTTTCTACCACCTAACCATCATGTTAGGTTAGGACAAGGAAGCGTGGTGTGCTGTAGTCTATGGGGTTGCAAAGTCAGACACGACTGAGCAACTGAACTGAACTGAACCATCATGTTAAAAAGGGTTAACTTTGGGACTTCCCTGGTGGTCCAGTGGTTAAGACTCCACACTGCCAATGAAGAGGGCCTTTGATCCCTGATCAGGGAACTAGATCCCATGTGCTGCAACTAAGACCTAGTACAGACAGGTACATTTTAAAAAAAGGATATTAAAAAGTGTTAACTTTATTTTTGTAGTAACCAGTGCTGGAAAGAGTTTCTAAAAGTGATAAATACATCACTGTGGTCAGGCATTGAAACCATTTCCTCCACTAGTCTCGTTCTAGAATAAATAATAGTTAAAATAATTGCCAGGAAATTTCCAGTATGGTTCTTTTGGGAAATACTGTTATGCAAACATGGGAGATGGTGAAAGAAACATTTGTGTCTCTAATGTTTATTACCTGGCTTGTGTGCACCAAGATATGTAATGGCCATTCTACATAGGGTTGGGACTTTAGGCTGCTCAGGGTTTGTCCACTTGGAGACTAGAAGAGACTAGAGCTCTGCTTGAGCTGCATGCCTCAAGGTAAAGGGGAATTAGTGAAGGACCACAAAGGGGAATTTAGGGGACAGGAAGGGACAGACTTGAGAGAACATATTCTTGTTACTCATGCTTTCCAAGGAAACTGGAGGCCAAATCTTAGATATTTCAGGATAAGAAATCTGTGTAGTATATATGTGCTGATTCTATTTTTTGTTTAATTTTCCCTTAGGTTTGGTTTTATTTTATTGGTAATATTCCTTTAAACATTTATAGTTTGTCTGCTTTGAACTAGGTGCCACCAAAGACCACACTGCCACCATCTTGCCTGTATTAATGCGTTCATTTCCATACTGGTCTACATGGTTCAGTCTCACCACCTAAGAGGCTGTTCTCTGCACCCTCACCAGAGTGATCTTCTAAAAAACCTGATCATTATCCAGTCATCTGTCACTGGACATCTTGGTTGCTTCCATGTCCTGGCTATGGTAAATAATGCTGCAATGAACATTGGGGCACATGTGTCTTTTTAAATTGTGGTTTTCTCAGGGTATATGGATAAAGAAGCTTCCCTGGTGGCTCAGTTGGTAAAGAACCCACTTGCAAGGCAGGAGACTGCCTGCAATGCAGGGGACCTGGGTTTGATCCTTGGGTCTGGAAGATCCCCTGGCGAAGGAAATGGCAACCCACTCCAGTATTCTTGCCTGGGAAATCCTGTGGACAGAGGCAATTGGAAGGCTACCATAGGGTCACAAGAATTGGACACGACTTAGAGACTAAACTGCCACCACCATGGATCAAAGAAGTTGTGCTACAATATATAATGGAATATTACTAAGTCATAAAAGAACAAATTTGAGTCAGTTGTACTGAGGTGGATGAACCTAGAACCTGTTATACAGAGTGAAGTAAGTCAGAAAGAGAAAAACACATGTTGTATATTAATGCATATGTATGGAATCTAGAAAAGTAATACTGATGAACCTGTTTGTGCAGATGAGATGGGGATGCACATGTAGAGAATGGACTTGTGCACCCAGGTGGAGAAGGACAAATTGAGAAAGTAGCCCTGACATATATACACTATCATGTGTAAAACAGACAGTTAGTGGGAAGCTGATGTATAACACAAGGAGCCTAGCCTGGTGCTCTGTAGTGACCTAGAGAGGTGGGATGGGAGGATGGAGGGAGAGAGGCTCAAGAAGGTGGGGATATACATATATAATTATGGCTGATCCTCATTGATGTACAGCAGAAATCAACACAACATTGTAAAGCAATTATCTTTCAGTTAAAAAATAATACTCCAATCAGATCCCATCAGCCTCTTCTCATGGCCTCCCCTTTGTATCATGACTGCTTTTCTCCTCTCTCCAGCCTTATCTCCTACCACTCCACTGATGTTGGAAGCCACTAGTGGGCCTCCAGTCATGGCGGCCTTTCAGTTCTTCACACAGGCCTTGCTTATCCCTAATTTGGAATATTCCTTCTGCCTGGAGGCTTCTTTTCACAGTTCTAGGGTCTGGCTCTCATCCTTCGATCCTAAATAAAATGTTGCATTCTCAAATGTCTTCCCTAAACTAAAGTGGGCTAAACTGGTCTCTCATCTGTTGTCCCTCCAAATGATGTATGTTTTCTGTTTTGTTTTCCTTCCAGCATTTGTCTCTATCTGATTATTTCTTTGATTATTTCCTGTTTCTTAATACACCCACCTCTACCACCACATATCATTTGAAATTAAGCTTCATGAAAGTCAAGGATCTTGTCTGTTTTGTCACTGCTGTATCCTAGCTAGTGTCCAAAAGATGTCACCAAACTAGGTGAAGACTGTAAAGTGAAAGTCACTCAGTCGTGTCCAACTCTTTGCAACCCCATGGACTATACAGTCTATGGAATTCTCCAGGCCAGAATACTGGAGTGGGTAGCTGTTCCCTTCTCCAGGGGCTCTTCCCAACCTAGGGATTGAACCTAGGTCTCCTGCATTGCAGGCAGATTCTTTACCAGCTGAG